GTAATCACTCTCACTCTAGACACTATTCCCGATGATACACGTGTTCTGCATCTCCCAAGACAGACAACCATGCTATAAATGACTGGCAGACTCTCTCTCTCTCTCTCTCTCTCTCTCTCTCTCTCTCTCTCTCTCTCTCTCTCTCTCTCTCTCTCTCTCTGTGTGACTAAGAACCCTGGAAAGTCTGACCACCATGTATGTGGTCTTTGGCCATCGCCAGGCGAGTCTGCCTGTTCCCACCACTTTCCTTCTCCCTTGATTACCCCAGCCCCAGCACCGCCCTTCTTCCACCCAGTGCAGCTATGGCTGCAGAATGACAACGCCAGGAGCACACGAAATTAAGAATACATTGAACTTGATGCAAGGATTTTTGTCCCCGGCAGGGCTCTTAAGGGCCCCCTCTGAAAGCAATGCGCCCGCCCTACGTGAAGGCGGGCCTGCATTTCTCTAAGAGGCCTAAACTGGACATTTTCGGGGCCCTTGGGGGTGCCAGACTGTTACTAGGCGTGAGTTTGCAGCCGTGGGATCGTGAGCCTTCTAGGCTCTTCCAGGCACGGCGTGGAAAAACGCCTTCTCGCCTATCAGGATGCAGCGAGTGATGCAGACCACGCCGTACAGTTGGGGGCACCTAGCTGTTTCCATCCCAGGCCATTATCTGAATTGGGCCTGGGCAGAGGCACATGCACTTTCGCCCAACGTGAAGCTACTGGGCACACGGTCGCCAGGCCCAGGATGCCATTACAGGCAAGCACTTTCCGTATAGGAAAGTGCTCGGTTGCCTCACATTCATTCGGGCACTCTCATGTCATGCAGCGGCGCTGATGATATGAGCGCTCTGAATGAATGTGAGTGCCCAAATGAATGTGAGGCAAGAGCCCAGGAGGCGCAGATGGGGAAGAAGGGCGCCGCATGGGAGCAGCGCCATAGCCCAGCCATCCATAGCCGAGCTGGGCTATAGGAGGTCAACGGGGTATGGTGGTGCCGTGGCGGTCTTCGGGAGGAGGACAAGGTGTGGGGAGAAGACAAGGGTGGAAGCGGAGAGAGGGCGAGAGAGAGGACGTACCTGGTTCGCCGTGGAGGTGTGCATAGGCGACATCTACACGTACTTTGGGTTCTGCTGCTGAAGTCTTCCTGTTGCGTCGTCACTAGTGTAGGCTAGCATAGGTCAGCTGTGTGATTGTGGTCTGGGTGATAAGTGCCAAGTTGGAGAAGAGACATTGAACGCATTTTCGTTGATGGTGAAGAGATAAGGGCCGACATTGACAATTGAGTTCGTTGTTTTTGTCTCCTTTGATGCAATATTGGTGCAATATTGGTGCGTTTCTAGTTTCTGGACAGCTCGCGACTATCTGGCTTTCAATGTGATGTTGCAATTTGGAATTCTGTCATTTTGCTCTTGCTCATTTTCTTTGCATGTCTCTCAATATCGAAAGCCCTCTTCACGCCTCCAACAATCAATACACCAAGAACGTAGTAGCCCTACTTTTGGAAAAAAAAACAAAGTGTCTGCCTTCATTATACTCCCACTCCACCTATGTACACTAGCCTCCTCCCTCTCACCCTCGTTTCCGGCACTCTCTCTTCCCACGCTCTCTCTTCCCACGCTCTCTCTTCCCACACTCTCTCTTCCTACACTTGTCATGTGCCTGTGCAAGGTCTTTCATCAATTTTGCGAAAGCGATTTGGCATGTGGGAGTCCACCTGAAAGGAACATCCTTAGTCCGAGACGTCAGGTCATTCATGGGACTAGCTTCCTATTAAAGGAAATTTGTCAGGAATTCCTATCATAGGAAGTTTGTCAGGAACTTTCCGTGAAGTTTCCAGGAAGTTTCCCTGGATTAGTGACTCCCCTGACTAACTCTCGTGGGACTTGGAGAGAGGAGGAGAGACTTTGAAGCGTTCATACTTGATTCATCTTTGGCTATGGTGTTTGGCTATGGTGCTTCAGGGGTGCGTAGTTCTTCCGTGGTGCTTCGCCAGATGCTGCTGAAGAGTGACCAGAAGAGGTGTTCTCGCCCAACACCGGTTAAGTGTCCATCTGTACCCACTGCGCGCTCCTCTTTTCCTGAGCTCCTCCTTTCTCCTCGCCACCCACTCCTACGGCTCTCCGCTGGCAGGGGCAGGTTATAGACAGCTACTGCTCGTCTGCCTCTTCCACCCTGAGCGCTTGCTTGCTGTGCACGCTACTCCAGCGCTGCCGCATGCTGCCACTGCCTGAATGTGTTCTGCATCCTTCTTTTGTTCCGTCTGAAGGCTGGTGTCTGGTCCCTCCGGCAGGCAGTCCCTACTGCTCTGGGTCCTGGCCCATGTAACTCAACCGAGCCGGTGTCCCAACTGGGCCCCACAGGTAGTTACCTGAGCTAAGCTCCAACATGGGGCCTAGTTGGTTACCTGATGAGCTCAGGCGCGGCCTTCACTTAGGAGTCGGGACCCACCAGCTTTTTTCCACGGGGGGGCGGGGGGTCGAAGGCCGCCGAGACCTGTAGCCGCACAATAAATATTTTTCTTTTTTTTCGGAAAACAGGTCCTTATGGCCCTGGCTCCATATCCATTCTTGGGAGCATCAGTCCGGTTCCTACTCGCCAAAAGTTTTGCTGAAATTTTCGCCAAAATTGTCGGCGAAAACAGTGAATTTTTGGCCCTCAGTTAACCATCTGTGCGAGAGATGGTTAACCTAGGGCCAAAAATTTAAAGTTCGCCGTTTTCGTCGACAATTTTGGTGAAAACAATAGCAAAAAATCCAAAAACAAATGACATGGGGCCATGGGCAAAATAAAACAGGGCAAAATAAAACGAAAAAAAAACACAAAAGTTGAAAAAACCACTATAAAACCCTAACACAAAAACAGTTTCCGAGTTCAAATGAAGCGTCCCGCCGTCCACTGAATTCAACGAAATGCCAACTTTCTCATTACTGATCCAAACCTGTCAAAAGTGGACACATGACCGTACCCTAAAGCACATAAATATCACTCAAAAAAAAAAACAACGAAAAAAGCAATAAAATCAGCAAGATACGACAGTTTCGGCGGAAAATTCGCCGGAAATAGCACCCTCACACTTCCTTCCGTCTGGCCGAAGGAACCTAGGGCCTGTATCGGATGATATCGGACCTCAATGACGATATCGGACCTGAACGGCATTGATTGCTCCAGCAGAGTGATGCCACCAAGCATTGATTGATGCAGGAAGAGTGGAGTCCTGAAGTCTGAGTCTAGGGCCTGTGGTGGACGATATCGGACTTCAATGAGGTTTCCTTGCGAAAGGGAGGAGGGTACCGGTCGCTTGGGAGGCCGTGTGGCCGGGAAGTCACCTGCCCAAGAGGCAGGTTGCCCGCTATATATCAAGGGAGAGCAGTTTGCTCTTCCTCATTTGTGGTGTGCAAGTTTGGGCATCACGCTGCCGGAGCGCTGTGTGGAGCGCCGTGCTCGGAGGAGGAGCGCCTGGGCTTCCATCTTGGCTATGGTGGACAGCGCCAGGAAGGAGGCGTGGAGGAGGAAGAAGGGGACCAGGAGGAGAATGGCCAGGGTTACTTACCTGGCTGTGGTGGACGCCATCTTTCATCTCCTTGCTAGGCGCTGCATCTGGAAGGCCCCAAGAGGGGTAGTGCTGCATCAAGAAGGAGGCTTCAGGGCAGAGTCAGGCATGGCAGCCTGAGGTGTAGAGGACATAGCTGCTTTTGCGTTGTCTCTTGAGCATCGGGGCAGGGCCCCTCGTGGTCCGCCATAGCCATCACCTCTCCGAGGTGGATGGAGGTGGAGGTCATGGCTATGGCGGACCTCATGTTGTGCTGGCAGTAAGAGGGAGATTCAGACGTTGCTTCTGGTTCAGCCATTCATTGTTGTTGTTATCATCATTATTTATCGTTGAACAGGATTGGGGGTAGTTGGTGAGAGAAGGGGGATTTATCATTGGTCTTTTGCTCGTGTACATCTTCTTATTTTTCTGTCTTTCTTCCTACCTTCTTTCTTCGTCTTCTTCCTTTGTCTCTTTCTCCTTTCAAATTCTTTCATCTCTTTTGAAATTGGACGGCATCGTCTTTCCTTGTGCATTTGCACTTCGGAATTGGCCACGATCGTAACAATAACAATGACAAAGAAAATTATTAAAAAACAACCAAAAATAATTCTTCATGAACAAATGAAAGTTATGAAACTCAACTCACCGTCGAGATGTATTTGAAGATTGCCTCCTTTTCCGCACCACTTTTGTCAGGATGATATTTCAGTGCAAGCTTCCTGCACAATTTTCCGAAAAGTCGACGAAAACATTTTGATAAACAACTTTGGGGAATTTTTTTTTTTTTTGGGGGGGGGGAGAAATGTTACCAGAGTGGGCGAGAACCACTTGCCTGGCCCGGCCAAAAGTGAATTAAAAAATTGGATTTTTAAATTTATTTTGTAAATTTGGCAATGAATTTCAGCGTGACCCTGGGCAAATGTTGTTCAGTTTTTTTTTTTTTTGTTTTTTTTTTTTTAAAMAGGGACCTTCCCTGGACCTTGCACCACGGCCCGGCTGGTAACGCAGCGTCTAACAAATTCAATTCAAAGAAAGTGAAGATTTTGGTTTTTCATTTAATTATGATAAACAGAAAAGTGACGTTAACAACTTCAGTTACTCAACGACCAGTTTTTTTTGTTTTGTTTTGTTTTGTTTTACTTTGTTTTAACAACTTACAACCAGTTGGCCATCCACCTACTTCCTTTTTGAGAGGGAGAAAAAGTTTTGATGCACCATGTCCACTGCTTCCAGTTTGATCTTTCCGTCAAACTCCAATGCAGGGTGTGTGACCGCGAGGTCACACAGGTGCAGGGAGACAGTGCTACGCGTCTTTGACTTTTCGCCAACTCTAATGCACAAGTGTTTTGTCGAGCTCGTGACACTTTACTATCTGTTTGCGACAGTGCTTTTTGTTGGTCACGAATGCTCTTGTACGTTTGCTTGTGAGCATACGAATCGGCGCAGTTCATCTGGATTGACTTCACTATCTTACCTCACTGCTTCCAGCAAAAGATGCACATGAACTGAAGCAAAAAAAAAATAAAAAATAAAAAATATTTAGAACTTTATCTTCAATCACTCATGAGTTGAGGCAAAAAAAAAAAGAAAAAAAAACCCTTCTGTAAGTTCTGTTTAAGAAGAAATTCCTCCTCACTTTAAGCGTAAAGTTTAACTGTTAAAAAAAAGAGGTTTTTGTAAAAATAAAACCTTAAAAGTTAAAACTTAAAAAGTCGAAAGTTGGATTTTTTTTCTCAAATTCTTGAGGATGTTGAGCCAAAATTATGAGCTGGAATCAGTGGAATGTGGATAAGAATTTGATGCATAAACAGATATCATTATATATCGTCATTATATAGAATTTGATGCATTGGTAACCGTCGAGGAATCATAAGAAAAACGGCGACGAAGAACAGAGGAAAAACTGAGCTTCGAAACGAATTAGCTGAAGCAGGCAGAAACCGTCGAACAATCGCCTTTTTTTTACAGGCTTTCCCCCCTGTTAAAAAAAAAAAAAAAAAAGAAACCTTCCGAAAAAAGAGTGTTTTCTTTTTGTGTGTTCTTCAACTCCTGTTGAGTTTGTTTTTTCTTTCGAATTCTTTCTTCCCTTTTTTTTTTTTTTAAAATTGAAAATTTATTTAAATTTCCCTTTTTTCTTTTGTTATTACTACTCATTAGAGTTTAGGGTTTGGACTCGCACTATCGAGAGCTCGTGATCACAAACTGCTACTCCGACCGAAGAGAAGAAGAGGCGGTGACGGAGAAGAGCGAGGAGATGGCAGGGAACAGATGAGGGGGACATGGGTAGCAAAAAATGGAAGAGGTAGGGAAAGATCGGTGGAGCGGGGAGGGTGGAGGGGGAGAAAACAAAGGGGAGTGTGTATATGATGGGAGGTAAGTTACCTGTACGCGGATCGAACATCTGACAAAGTGCTTGACGACGGTATTCCAAGAATAGCGTAATAATCCAACTCAGATCCATGCTTCTTCAACTGCAAATACACAATTAAGCAACACATCAACCAATCAATCAACCAATCAATCAACCAATCAACCAATCAACCAATCAATCAATCAACCAATCAATCAATCAACCAATCAACCAATCAATCAATCAACCAATCAACCAATCAATCAACCAATCGAGGGTAAGCAGAAACACGGTAAGATCACAGGAGAGAAAGAGGAGATTGTGCACACGTCAGTGCAAGTCGACATATCTGAACTAAATCATTGCCCAACAAAACGGATGACACAACCGATGATAGAAAAAGAATAAACAGATTCATCTGCGGACATTTCCTGAATCCGTTTAGGTCATGTGCAAGCACCATAGCCATGAGCTCATCCGGCTATGGTGCTTGCACCATAGCCTTGACCATAGCCACCTCTGTACTGCTCCCTTGAGTTCATCCCATACTTGCAAGCGCACGTTGTGCGGGCGGTTCCCTACGTGCGGCGCACGCGCCCAACCGATCCCGTGCGGAGAACGGTCACCCCCTCGGAAAAAAAAAAGACCGGGTCGAAACGGTGCTTTTGAGGCCCCCCGCCAAAATTATAAGCGAGATGAAAAAAAAATTACAAGAGTACTGCCTCACCTTGCTCCTCCTTCCCTTCCTCATCCTCCATGTCTCCTCCTCCCTTCTCCTTTCGTCTCCTCCTCCTCCTCCTCCTGTTCGTCCTCCTCCTCCTCGTACTTCCAAATCTTCCATGCCTCCTTGTCACCTTCCCTTCCTCGTGTCCTCCCCTTCCTCGCCGTCCATGTCGCCTCCTCCTCCCACTTGCCCTCCTCCTTTCCTTCCGTCCATCTCTTCTCCTCCCCCATCTCGACGACTCCTCGTCGTCCTCACTATCCTCGTCCTTCTCCTCGTCCACATCCTCCATATCCCCCTCTCCTCGCCATGTCCCCATCTTCCTGTCATACGCGCCCCCGTTCCCACTCCCAAAAAAAGATAAAATAATAATAATAAAAATAAAAAACCTGCACGATTCCGCACAGGCACCCCCCCCACGGAACTCCGCACGATGTGCGGCTCGTGCGGTTGCAAGTATGGTTCATCCCCAACTCCACGTACCACCAAAGCAGCAGCGTAAAGTAGACGGTCTTCACCGTGACCTCCTCGTGTTGTAACCAGTGAAAAGAGAAAAGGCTAAGGGGGGGGAGAAAGAAAGAAGAAAAAAAGACCGGATGGCGAGGTGGAACAACTATATTTTCTAATCTTCCTTTTTTTTTTTTTTCCCTGATCTTCCTATTTAGAGTACAATCAGTACAGCAAAAAGTTACAAACTGCATTAAGAAAATTACTAAGGAACGTCAAGGTAAGATTCCAGATAGCTTAAAAAAAAAAAGAAATAGAAAAAAAGAAAGAAAAAGAAGAAAAGAAAAAAAACAGATTCCAGATAGCTCCCTTGTGCAGGGCGAATCAAACCCCAGAAGTGGCAAATACAACAGAAATTCAATTTCATAATCATCAAATAAATAAAAGTGGGGACCACCACTTTCTCTCTCTTTTGGCACACGAAATGTGTCAGAAGCAGTTTTCAGGTCGAGGGCGTCAACGTTGCATGCCTGACCCCAAAGTCATAGACCCCATACTCTCTCTCTCTCTCTCTCACACACACACACACACACACACACACACACACACACACACACACATTAGGCCAGCTTTCGTCGGAGTTTCACCGACTCATCAGGAGGCTGAACCCTATATATATATATACTGTTTGAGACGATATATATATAGGTTAAGGTGGATTATCACTTACAGTGTAATCAGTGAGGGGATTCTACAGACTGTTGAGGGTTCAGCCTCCTGATGAGTCGGTGAAACTCCGACGAAACAGTTTGTCACAGCCCCTCGTTTGTTGTCCTCTTCTCCCT